CTAGTTAGATAGCACATACTCACCTACTTGCTGCTCTCTGATTGGAGGTCTTTTGTCACGTGATTTGTTTAGCGCTTCTTATTGGACAAACTGACTTATCTGCAAAATAACGGGCGAAATCGAATCTTCTTCAGAGATATACTTTACAGCTCAAAGGGCTGAAATCCGAGGAAGCAGTGTAATGTGAGAGGTACGATAACAAAACCTGTACATTTCAAAGCTGAATGTTTGATGAGTGGGAAGTTAGGATGGAACCTGACTATCCAGTTCAACTAAATCAGTAACCATGGGTACCTGACTCTCCAGTTCAACTAAATCAGTAACCATGGGTACCTGACTCTCCAGTTCAACTAAATCAGTAACCTCCTTATTTGGGCATCACGTGGCCTGTACTACTCTCAGTAACCTGATTTGTAGAGCACCAGGCCTGTACTGCTCTCAGTAACCATAGTAACCAGGCCTGTACTGCTCTCAGTAACCATAGTAACCAGGCCTGTACTCAGTACTGCTCTCAGTAACCATAGTAACCAGGCCTGTACTGCAGGGTTTGCCACCGATATTATCGGCGATACTCTCAGTGCTGCTCGTTTTAAGAGTAGGGGGGTGTGAAACCCAAAAAAACCCAATCCCAGTATTACCTTTTTCAGGGTAGGAGTTGGGTTTTTTTGGGTTTTTTACAAATTTTTCATTTGAAGGAAATAAAATCATGTAGGCACCTAGCAAAACAATTATCAGTACAACATCACTGTTGTGGTTCATCACTACAACATCACAATAGATTTAATCGCTTAAATATCACCCAAAAGCAGTATTTTATTCACTGATGTGCTCAGAAGAAGTTGGCCATCCAGATATGATATCAGCCATATGTAATGCTCACTTCGATGGCCATGGCAAATTGAGTTAGTAGGGACGCAACTCACTGATGACCCCAACCCTGACCGCAACCGGTACGAGAGGAATAAAGCCTTTCTTCTCACCTTCACGATCTCTGTTTCCGTTTTCCTGATCATCCGCTTAACGAGAAACCATGCTCTATCTCCAACTGAAAGAATCTTGCAGTTACCATCAGCTGCATGATCACATGTGATATTAAGTGATATCTTCGCTTGTTTATGGCCCTGGAGTCGCTAAAATCTTGACTGGGATGGCATTCGATCTCGCCCTCCATTGAGGCAAACCTCAACAGCCGTATCATGATGCAGAGCATCACAATACACAGTTACTATTTTCGCCCATTCCTCTGATGAGTCAATATCCTCCACTTCCTCTTCTTCATCATCTGTTTCCGCTTCGTCACTCTCTGCTCCGTCAGAAGATGGTTGGAAAGCCTCTCCTTCAAAGTTACAGTGTTCTTGAATGAGTTCTCTACCCCTTGAGACTCCCTTCTTCATAGCTTGGAACAATCTTGGGATTGAAGTATCTTTACCTCAAAATAGTTTCTCTGCTTTCGGATGCGGTATAACAAGCTTGTTGCGAGGGTGGGCAACTGTTACAGGGATCAAACTTTTGCCGAGTGCATCAAGCTCGAGGGAACGCGAACGGTTTGATTTGCCCATGCCAACCAACATATCCTTAGAACACAGATTAGTTCTAATGCCTGCATGGAGGCCTATGCGCAGGAAAGCATAAAGTTTGCTCGCAGGCATCGGATGTAAACAGCCAGGGCATAAAGTTTTGATAACTGTTGTCAGCTGTTACACTGAGAATGTACAGCATCAGACCCTCGACTGTAATAATCGCATCGTCAAAATTTTTACAAGTAAGCAGGTGGTCTTTCAATGGTTGTGTGAAGCTTAGGTGGCCCAAGGCGTCACCGCTGGATAGAAGCTGGGTGGAAGCCCTGGTCTGATGTGAGGCTCCCAGAACTTTGAAAAGGGGTATCCTGCTGGTGCCCTCTTCCAGACACTCATCGGACAGCATGATGAAAGCCACTACCTCCGCGTGCTGAAGACTGGATACTGGACAGGGGGTCCAGGCTAAAGGCAGGACGATCGACGGGAGACATTGAGCCCCGGAAGTTCAATAATTTGATCTATTGACTCCTTAACTCTTGGTCTACAAGAGGCTTTGAGACTCGTAAATCTTTACTGCGGATTGCACAGTTTGCTGGAGGAATGACAGAGAGATCTCTTCTCTGTGGGGTGGTCACACAATGTGATGGCCCTGTTAAAGCTTAACGAATCTCAACATAGGTGACATAGGTAGGTAGGTAAAGAGGTGTTGGCTGTTACCCTGTTCAACCTAGTCTACTATGACCCAGCTAGACTGGACCACACTCTGGTAGTCAGGATACGGCTCCCTATGCCCGGGGTATCTGGTAACGAGGTAGTCAGGGGAAGGGTTAGTCCCCGCTAAAGTGTAGCTCTGTTCTCACTCTAACCTCCTTATGCTTTGGGATAAAATCGGAAAGTCCCACACTGGAGCAGGTGACGATTGGGTAAGGATTACAACTGATGCTGTTGGGTAGAAAAAGGAAGTGTCACATTTGTCTTGTATAGCATATGTTCGTGCAATTACATGCTCAAGATACCCAAGATATTAATATGGTGAGAGTTAAAGATGGCTATTGTTCAAGCGGATGCCCTTAACCTTTTAGTGGCGCAAGAGTTAAGAACACAATCCACTGCCAATGTGCAGGGGACTGCACAGGATTGTGAGCCAACTGAAAAGTCAAGATGAAGTTTTTCAACAGCTTAAGGGTTAAAGCCCCTTATTTTTCTAGTGGAAGTGGTTGCCGGGGTAATTACGCTGCTATTACAGAAGCTGATGACTCGGTCTCCACATCACAACAACCTATTTCTACAGAAAGTCAAACAAGAAAACATCAAAAAAATATGAACATCAATTGTATTGTATCATGTAAAAGGACTGCTAAGGTTAGCACATTTAACATAAGAACAGCCAGAGAACAGCACAAACGCATCGAACTTGCAGAACTATTTTCATCCTTGGCCTGCAAGACTCGAACATCGGGTAGTGCATGCTGATTGCTGAGAATACCAGAATAGAAAAGATGAACAAAGGGATTCATCCAGTGATATCATCTGCGTGGAGAAACGCAGCTGGCGCTTCTAATGGGAGAGTAGGAATCATCTTGACGAGGACAGCAGCGCATATATGAGGCTATAAGTCTTATAAAGTTATAAAATCTTACAGCGCAAGGATCCTCACCATGTCTCTTAATGGAAAGCCCAGGCTCACTGTCATCACATGCTACAGTCCTACAGAAGCCTCATCTGATGAGGAGGCAGGAAATCTTTTTTGTCTAAAACCAAGCATCTTACAGTTAATTTAGTAGGAGAGGAGCCACACACAATAATTTCTAAGGACGCACATGCCTTAGAAGAAGTTGAGGATTTTAGTACAACGGAGCACGACTTTAGGTTACGCAAGGCCAAGGCATGGGCTGCCTACCACAAAATGTAGGCTATATGGAGGTCCAATTTGCGCCGAGATTTAAAGATCCGTCTGTTCAAGCTACGGTTGAATCAATCTTCCTGTATGGAACGAAAACGTGGACAATAACAGAATCTTTGTTCAAGAAAAGAATAGACGGATGTTACAGTAGAATGCTTCGGATGGCCCTAAACGTGGACTGGAGAGGACATCGCACCAACAAGGAGGTCTTTGGATCACTTCCAAGAGTTATTTCGAAGATACAGGCCAAAAGAATGAGGTTGGCTGGGCACATCCAGCGACATGATGACCTGGCGGCTGGCAGCACACCAACTTCTCCTTTGGGAACCTAGGGAGGGGTAGACCACCGCTCACCTTCGTCGATAACCTAATAAGTGACACTGGACTCAAGAACACTGGGGAGATTAAGGAGCTTATGGCGGACAGAAAGCTTTGGAGACACATCATCGAGACTCGGACTCTGAAGCCGTCAAGTAATTTAAGTCATGTGCTTTGACTTGCCCTTGACCTTCGTCATAGCCTCCTTTCATGACAGGAGAACACATTTGCCACGTTTGGCACATGTCCACTTTGTGCATTAATATGGATTATATCTCGATGAACGAGACATCCTGTTTGCTATCGTGATAACATACTATCAATATAAACACACTTATATACTATGTAAACTATCTATTAAGTTAAGACATGAGAACAACACGTAGGTAAGACTCAGTGGGAAATAATTCACATTCGATACAATTAATGAAATGGCTAGAATTCTGTTTAAATTTTGTTTAAAAAACCCAAAAAAACCCAATCCCAGTATTACCTTTTCTTGGGTAGGAGTTGGGTTTTTTTGGGTTACACCCCCCCCCCCCCCCCCCAGAGTATTATATAAGCTCCTTGAAGCCCCCTATACCTGTCACCCCACCAGTTGTACTATATCAGCTCAGTATTATATACTACTACAGTCTCCTACTTATACTTTAAAAGCAGAACGTCCCTCCCTACAATGTTTCGCTGCTATTATTCCTAAACAGTCTGCTGAGTTGAGAAAGAGCACTGCTGTAGAAGTGTAGAGCACTGTTATTAGAGTACTGTTCGTACTGTGATTGGGCGTGTGCCCCTAGATAGGTTAATAAGTTGCAAGACAGAGACTGTCAATAAAAAGTGAGTATGAAGGAGGGTGTTGGCGGTGACAAAGAACTCGTAGTAGTGGTGTTATTGGTTACATATTGCTGGAGAGAGAGAGCTAATAGTCACGTACACTGTCTCACTACTCACTAGTGACTAAAGAGAAGTTCTACATACTGTTGCTACAGTTGGTTGCTGAGGTGTAGGCTATATCCACAATAGAGCAATGCAAATGACTGGCATCTTCGTAATGGGTTAAATTATATCTTTAGAGACGGTTAAAATACATCAGTACAATTATAGTAAACTATATAAAGTATATCTGCACTGTAATAGCTATCTTGGGAGCGGCTATTCAAATTTTAACTTTTAAAGTGGAGCAATTTCTGATTACAACGGTTACTGATTTAGTTGTTTACTTTTGCTTATTTACTTTCTTTATCGTGATAGACAATTAAAAACGGTTTTTATTTAAACATTTTAAGGAACAGTGCGTATATTCTAGGTATTTCTTCCAAAAGTGCAAATTAAGATAAAAACCATTTGAAAAAGAATTATAATTGCCACTTATGAAATTACGTGTATAGTACCATTATAAATTCAATAATATTTGCAACAACAAAAACCAACGAAGGCTATTTTTGAGACCACGTCAAAAACATAATATTCATAATATTCTTAACGAAATCAATAACAAATTCATACCGAGATCGGGAGATGGAACACGAATAACGGCGACGACCCTTGGATATCACATTTCATGAAGTCCCGGGGTCACCAGCATAAGTGACGGTTAAAAACCGTTGTTCGATCGTTGAAAATCACTAAAATTATTACAAAAGTATTTTTAGACATAACAATCAGGAAAGAGCTCGTAAAAATCTTTTAGATCTAATCAGCACATAGTGAAGAAATGATATAAGCACACATAATAAAACAATAGCCAGGGGCGAACGGTAAGAATGTGACCAATAAATGGAGCAACTTGGAATGAGACTTACTATAAATGATTTGAAAATATATACCAAACAAAAAGGGTTTTTTACGATTTTAGGCTGACTACAAAAAGTGTCTTCGGAAGTTGGAACCTTTTAAACACCAAATTCTGCATTGATACCTAGTACTCTCCGAGCTTGTAACCATAGTAACAGTAACCATAGTAACAGCAGCTCTAGATGCCTGCGTTAATACCTTCAGTTATTCCAACGGAAAACGCATCCATAGCTTTGCTTTCGGCTCCCCTCGAGCAGTTAGTTACATCGATCAAAGCAACAACAAATGTTGTTGTGCATCGTGCGCAGTAAAGGAGTTTACCACCTTCTCCCTTCTTCTTTCCTGAATGGTATTTATACTTACAACATGCTCTTTTGTCTGCCAAAGTGGAACTAGTGAATTTCAGATTAACATGATAGAAGAGTATGTTTAAATAACCAACCTGTAAGAACATTAAAGTCGCTGCTGGCAGGCACAACCCTCAAGATAGTGTAGCCTGCAGGGGGAGCAGAGAATATGTCGGTCTGATCGCCGTTGGCAGCGTTGCTAAGTTTCATCATCTCACCTGCGTCGAAAGCTGCATCGAATCCTTCAGACTTGGCATACATTGAACCTGCAAAAAGGGAAATTTAGTGGGCGAAACTTTGAGTAAACAAGGCCGAGGTCTTGTTTGAAAATCGTGCCTGAAATCAGTAACCATAGTAACCATACTATACTGTACTCCTCTCAGTAACCTTATTCTGAAATACACTTCAGAAATGTTTCAAATATATATTATTATAGATACAAAATTAATGTAAAAAAGTAGAACAAAATACTTAATAACTCCTAATATCTATGTATGACTGATACATGATAAATGTGATTATTAATCAGGCAATATGTTGAAAGATAAAATATAAGTTATTATGAACACTGTCACGGAGATGAATGCCAACTAGATGTGCAAATTAGAAATTAACTATGCTAAATAAGCTCTCGAGAACTGTTTAGTCCTGTGTAAGATCACTTAAAAAAGCAAAAAACTGAAGATTAAAACATACTACAAACACTCAAGCTAGCAACGTCAACTCAAACCAATTAATTCGCCACAAAGTATATTTGACTCATATTATCCCTTGGCCTTCTTTTCAATCTCATCTCTTCAAAGAATTTTACCAGCCTTTATGAAAAACACTTTATCCTTCTCTTCTGCCGCTCTATCCCTCATTTCCTTGATTAAGTCTCTTTGAATCTGGCGTTTTTCAGGAGACCGATCTGGACAGACAAAAACAGTTTTAAACTTCTCTGTTATCCTCAGATTCTTAGCGTTGGCAGCAAGCTGATCAACAACAATTGAGCTTGAAACTTTAACTTTGCTGGGCTGGGCAGTAACTGTACTGTCCTTAGATTTCCTGCCAATTCTGCACGTTTCAACAATCTTCGGTTTCTGTCCAATGTTTTGGAAAACCTTGCTAACTGTGGCAACAAGTTCGCTATCGCTCCCTTCAGACAGACCAAATACAACGACATTGTGACTGCAGTCCTTAACAACATGTTTGACTACGCTTTTAAGCGTTTCCGAGCTGGTGACCTGCTCAGTTGGCTGTGAATTCTTCACAATTGAGCTGTACGTTTGAAATTCGGTTTGAACTGAGTCAACAACAGATGTCTTAATGGTGTTCTTCAATGTTTCAAGTTGTTCAGTCTTACAGTTCGAAAGCTCTGCCTGAACACTGATCAACTGTTTCTGACTCTCTATGAGATTGCTCTGCATTGAAATGTACTCGATCCGCACCCTCTTGACAATGTCAACAAAAGTATCATTGATCTGAAACGAATCATTAGATAACGGACTACATCAGGCTTGGTAAACTTGTTAATGTCCCCACCATTAATCTCACCAATTTCGACAAAAGGTTCCTTCAACTCCATTCTGGGATCTTTGCTCCATTCTAATGTATCCATCAACACCACATCAATTTCATAAAGTAATTCACGTTGCATTACAAGGCGAGGCTGTGGCGGTTAAAACAAGCCATGATCAGTATCAATTAACAAAGATAAGCTAAGCGATAACAGAGCTACAATTTAGCAACAAATGTAAAAGTGCAATATATGCACTGAGTGTAATATCTAAAAAGGAATGTGTTACTGTAAACTAAAATTAATTTTCTGTCTACAATAATGGTGTCAAGATTGATACTAGAGAAGTAACACAGCCTGCTCAGTGCTCACTGGCTCAAAAGTAATAATAATAATTATTTATTTTAACATAACTTGTTGATATTTCAAGATTTAGAAAATTTGAAATCAAATTGTACATTTTAATTTTTAATCAACAAAAAACTTACCATCATGTCCTCCAATGTGGATGTGCCAATTTGCAGGGCTCTCTGCAGGTGCATTAGTCAAGTATTCATTTACGGCGTGTCCTTGGATAAAGGCAACCCAGCTGTCCCACTCACTCATTTTAAGTGCTATCAAGAGATTTGTGTTTAAAGTTTATAGATAAGTAAAAACTGCAATTAATAATGAACAAGTGCGGTGCAAGCTTATTATTTAACAACCAAGTCATACAAATACAGGTTCAACAGTGGAGTGCTTAAAAACAAAACTGCTTATCCTGGAACATATTGTCAACAGAACAGTTATATTATTATAAAAACCTCGATTTACTGCAGAGATTGAGGGAAAGGTAAAAGGTGCAGTGAATCAGGTCAAATTGCGTTAAATCGGGTTACATGTCTACATGGTTCTACAGAATCAAACTTGTCTAGGGGAACACTTTAACTTTGATATGCTGAAGGTAACATATACGTATGTTAACAAAAGGATGTGTTAAACATTTGCTTCACTGAATAACACTATCGCAATCTAGTAATGAAAAACAAGAAATTTGAAAAAAAACAAGAGAACTTTGATGTCAAGACAGGGGGAGTAACTTTTTCGATAACTTTTTGACATTGACAAGACCTTTTAGGTATATTCCAGGGATCACTTAGAAGAGATTTCGAAAAAATCAAAAATCAAATCAAATCAAATCAAATCAACATTTTGAACATTTAAAGTAAAGTAAAATAAAAATTATGACATAACATCATCACACATGTCTACAAAGTATCAAATCACTATATGGAAAAATATAAATATCTTACCACCAAAATTAATAAATTATTAACTACAACTTTAAAATTTCAAATAAATTCAAAAAGCATCCCCAAAAGGTAATTCCAGTGGAATAAAGATTTATGAATCGCTTTTTTGCCACAAAAGGGTGGAAATAAAGATAATCGTTATGCTTCTCTTTATTACTAACATAGCTAGGTCCTTCAATTCTCCCTAATACTTCATTTGAAACATTCCAAAAATGTGAATCATTAGAAATATCCTTAGAAATCATATCTTTCTTAAACCCTTCTAATTTAATCTTAAAACTTAAAACAGTCACCGAGTTCTTAACATCTGGAGGAAGTTTGTTCCAGTAAGGAACAAATATAATTTGGAACATTACAACATAACATAACATTATAAATAATGCCTCTGATCTCTGGGCATCTCAAAAAGAAATTCATAGAAAATGAACACTTTACGTTTGAAACCATATAATTACAAACTTTTAAAAAATTTAACTAAATACCTTTGATATTAACCTTCTTCCTCTTAGCTACCAATGGATTCTCTTTCATATAACTTACATAACTATTCCTATTAGACACAGACACATCTATCCTATCAAAGATGTCATATGAAAGTTCCCAGTGATGACCAAGCTTATTAGCTCGATATCCATGAAGCCGAAAGGCATCTAATCCCCTCTTGAAACCAGTAACCGACTCACTAGCTTTCACAAGTGGTGGTTCCAATAGCGCAAGACCCTTTGGGCAAAGAAATCAGTCTCATTTGTGGTGAATCTATGAGTCTTTGATCTAGCAGCAACGGTCCTACCGTACAGTTTCCTGGACAACTGGAACCTTTTGGGCCATGCACAAGCCAATAGCATGTATGGCAGTGGCGTAACTTTGCCTGTTGGCGCCCCCCCGCTCAGTGACGAAAAGCGCCCCCCTAAAATTGTTTGTGTCCCTAAAAAAAAAAAAAATCGGGTACTTTTTTCTCGCCCCCTACAGCTTTTGGCGTCCCCTGAAGCAAAAAAGGGTACCCCAAATATTTTTCTCGCGTCGATTGAACGCTAAATTGGTCAGGGAAATACACAAACAAGGCGTTTTTTCAGTGAAAGGGCCTAAAGTTCAGGAAAATTGCGCCCCCCTTATACGGCGCCCCCCCGCACAGCGGGGTCTGCGGGGCCCTACGTTACGCCACTGATGTATGGTCGTGCAGTGGGGTCTCCTTGTCCTTGGATCTGTGTTTTGATCCGTCTTTTCTTAAAATTTTCCAATTGTTTTCCAACTTAGACTCACCTATTAAATGTTAATCGACACCACTGGTCCTAGTTAGATTTAGCCATGGCACGACTACTCAAACGTAACAGTTAAATAGGTGTGACATACTATTATATTCTTAATAATTATATCATATGAACCATAACCCAGTTACAGTAACGTTATTCATTGATGATGTTTGTGTCATTATATTTTGATTTGATTTGATTACCTAAAGTAAGTAAAATTGTTGTAGACTAAAAATTTGCGAAATTTGTGCCTAAAATGATGGTAACCAAAATTATAGTAACCAAATTTATTGTGACCCAAATTTGTTGGCCCTAAGGTAGACTTGAATTTGTATATATATTTTATAAAGCGTATCTCATTGCCCACGTTAAGGGGCCTGTTAATAATTAATTAAATAATTAGCTATTTTAGATTTAATAATAATAATGTGCTTGAATACCACCCACGTGGATAGCAACTGACACAGGTGTCAAACACTAACCGTGTCAAAGCAGTTCTAAATGGCGATACAAACATATTCAGCATCAAACAGCAGTAAAAGTTATGAAGTGAAGAAATTAAAACCAATTGTAACTAGAGATAGTTTAGCCACATTTAGTGACTAACTAAATTTGACCGGGTTACATTTTCTAGAAATGACGAGTACTATTGGATAGAGTCTGGGAAATTCGGATGGGATTTTACTTTCGCCCAAACGGTCAGTGTTCAAATGGTTTACACTGAGATGGCTCCTAACATTATTGTCTATACAGAATTTGGTAGTATGTTGAAATTAGTTTTCTTAATGACAAAGTTTTCTTCGTTACAAAGGGTGTGAAATGTTCACAGTTCTGATAATAAAGAAACTAGGAGGAATTTTAAAAACTAGTGATGATGTTGAAGTCGTCATCTAATCCAATCTAATCTAGTAATTAATATTGTATCGATGTATTTCTGCGAGCATGCTAAATCACTCTACAGTCGATCTTTGAGATTTTTTTAAAAGGGCCCCGACAGTTGATGTTATTTTCGGACGCTGATTCCGAATCACCCCCATGACATAGGTTTCAAATGCTCCCCAAGCGAAAAACTGTCTCGATCACGTGATGTGACTGTGTAAGGAAGTTAGTCGCAGGTTTCAATTGTAGATTTATCCTAGGAAACCCTATTGGTTTATGTTTATCCCCGAAAGTAAAATGAATATCAATCTTAAATTTTGAGCAAAATTTCGTTTTATAAAATTAACGTTAGCTCCCCAAAAGCAAAATTTGGGACAAGGGACAATGCAAATTTTGCATTATCTCATGAAACTGCAATCATCTCTAGTAACACACTCACTCGGTTAAGTTTGTTAAATAGTCGGCCATCGATGTGTCAGTGCTTTTACCTGGCGTGTTCCCTGGCATGCCAGTCTTCATGTATGGCGCTCTTTTCATGAAACTTCTTCCTAACATGCATTAAAATAAATTTTTAATTTCTTGCTCGCTTCTCTTTGTCAATTTATAATAAACTGAACCGGCGCGCGCTACTTCGTAGCACTGACATCTGGCCACAATATTTTGAGGAGAAAGCGACACGCGTTACTTCGAAGTAATTTTTAAAAGTATCTTTCGTCAAGCTTCTCTTTACATAGAAAAGCTTAAAAAGCGTCGACTATAGGGATTAAGGAAAACAAAGTTTGCCTTGTAGCGCGATGCGTTACTGTGCCGCGCCGCGCACTTAATAAGGCTTCTCACAGCGACAGATCGGCGAGATGCGCTACTGTGCCGTGCCGAGCTGCCATGAATTGACATCGTCAATTAAATACAATTCCTAAATTAAATCAATAATAATTCAATGAATATAACATAATATACTCAATAAAGTAATTATCACTTTTGTATCCTTGTATCCTTGTAGTACAAGTTGTACCCTTGTAACCTTGTATTGATTGTTTTGTGGTAAATAAAAATTTAGTGTTTCTTTCAAAATTCTAGTTTTTCTTAGGCCACCTAGCCCCATTTTTATCGTTAGTTCAACTACCGTTCTACGAACCTGATCCTCCCACGTGAACTCCATGGATACAAGGATACAAGGATACAAAAGTGATAATTACTTTATTGTGTACACAATAGTTGTAATTCTGAAATAATTTAAGTTACACAATTCTAATTATTTACAAGTGTGTAGGGATAATTTAGAAACGTTATATAATGCTAGTTTTAGAAAAATAGATAAATCGAGTTTGTATGGTTCATTTTATTCTTATTCTTTTATGTCCAGTAATATGTACACTGCAACAGCTCTTAATTGGAATGAGATCTTCTGTAGTCTTCACGTAGTCTTCACGTAGCGTTTTTTTTTGCTTGAGCTGTAAAATCCTCTGGTGTTGAGACTACTCCATCAGATCCCAAATTTGGGTCCACTACTGTTAAGGAGACTCGTATCCAGTAGGGGCTGACAGCGGTAAGCTTCAGTGTCTGCTGGTAACCGACTCGGCAACAGTAGTGGTTCCCATTTTTGGGTTGGAATGCCTGACACAAGAAAAATGGACACTAGGTCCAAAGTAGGAAAGCAAACTGGAAAGCTGATATCTGTGGATTTTGTTCAAAGGAGGTAATATGTGATTGTATTCAATGTGAAGGAAAATGTGGACGATGGTTCCATGCGGCATGTAGTGGACTGTCGGAGTTGCAGTTTAAAGACCTAGCTGAAAATGAGGATTCTGAGTGGTCATGTCAAAGATGTGGCAAGGAGGAGAAGAGCAACGAAGACGAAGACGAAAACCCCATAACTGAAGCTATCCGAAAGTTGAGGAGACAGGTCGAAGAAAGTGTACAACCATCTACTCCAATATCAAAGGACCCTCATATTGTGGAAGAAGAGGGAAAGGAGTGCTGTTTCCCAGGTTATGAAAATGTAAGGGATCCATCTCAATTGAAATTAGGATCATGGAATAGTTGGGAAGTTCTAACACAATGTGAGGGAATATATGGTGTTGTAGTCAAATGGAGAAGAAACATATTTCTGCTTCCCTCAGGGGCTGCAGGAAAAGCATTCATTGAGGAAATGACTAAAGTGGCCAACAATTTTTCAGCAGGCAGTACTATGGAATCAGTGACC